AGTGTCACCATCATCAGAGAATCAACCAGGCTGGCAAAGACCTTGGAGAGCATCAAGTCCAACCTGGGACCCAAAACCACCTTGTCACCAAGACCATGGCACTGAGTGCCACATCCAGTCTTTCCTGAAACACTTCCAGGGACGGTGGCTGACCCACTTCCCTGAGCATCCCATTGCAATGACCAATCACCCTTTCTGTGAAGAATATTTCCTGATGTCCAGCCTAAACATCCCCTGGTGCAGCTGAAGGCTGTGTCCTCCTGTCCTGTCACTGTTCCCTGGGAAAAGAGCCCGACCCCCAGCTGGCTGCACCCTGCTGTCAGGGAGGTGTAGAGAGTGATGAGGTCTCCCCTGAACCTCCTTTTCTCCAGGATCAACAACCCCAGCTCCCTCAGCCGCTCCTCACAGGACTTGTGTTCCTGACGCCTCACCAGCCTTGTTTCCCTTCTCTGGACATGCTCCAGCCCTTCCATGTCCTTCCTAAATTGGGGGCCCAGAACTGAACAAAGAAATTGAGGTGCTGCCCCAGCCAGTGCCAAGCACAGTAGAAGAATCACTGCCCTGCACCTGCTGGCCACACCATTCCTGATCCATAGGAATGCCAGGGGTTGGATTAGGGGAATTGTGGGGAAGAAGTGGGGACAAAGTGTTATTGATTGTAAGCCATGAAGGTTCTTCATTTTCATGTCTGTTCAGACTGCATTAGAAGGTGCTGGGGGTCAATAGCAATTGGACGTCACTGATACCAATCTGTAAACAGAAAAAGAAAACTGGATACAACAGTTTTGTCTGCATTAGTGTATTCAGTTTAATATAGTGTATTCAGTTTAAATACACTTCTGAAATCTGTCTAATTAATCACAGAAGAACTGAACACTTAAATTATTCCGAGGAGCTTTTCTTGTTCTGGCATTTTAAACAAATGTTTGTGAGGTTTTCTCACTGAATTCCTGAAGTGAAGAGCTCAAGAAAGAAAAGGCCTCTGGAGTAGGAAAATTCATCAGCAACCCCCAAGGGGTTGAGGATCCATCCCCATCAGAGCAGCAATGAGCAGAAATGGGCACAGCTTTGTGGCTGCCCCAGCTCTGGGATGGGCCCTGGGCCTGGAGCAGGAGCAGCTCTGCAGGGCCCCAAGGCCGGGGCTCTTGTGCTGGCCTGGGCAGATGGGATGGCAGGAGGGGCTGCAGAGCTCTCAGCACCTCAGCCAGAGGGGAGCAGGGCAGCCAGGGAGCTCCTTTGGCCTTGGCCAAGCCCCTTCCCCCATGGCTGGGGCTGAGTCCTGGCTGAGCTGCAGCTGCTGCTGTGCCCTTGGCAGGGGCTGAGGCCGTGGGGCAGTGCCCAGAGCAGCCTGGCCTGAGCAGAGCTGTGGGGCCAGAGCCGGCTGGGCTGTGCTGGGGAGAGGCCCTTGGTGCTGCCCAGAGCTCAGGGCAGCTGGCAGAGCTTGCAGGGAGCTGGGCTGGGCTGGGAGAGCCTGGCACAGAAACCATCAGTGTCCATCTCAGCCTGGCTGGGCGGGCAGGGGCAGGAAGATCATCCAAGGTCCACAAGTTCTCTGTGTGGGAGCTGAGCTTGTGACCCCCTGAGCCCTCCCAAGTGCTGGGGCTGCACCTCCAGCTCCAGAGGAGATGTGACAGATGGGAGCAGAGACAAATAATTCCTGCTGCATTCTTTATTGTGTTTGTTTATACAGGTGACCTGGATCCATATGTAGACAAGGTGTTTTGTGCCAGATAACACTGGGAGAGTGATAAGAGTAATATTTTTTTGCTGAAAATTATATTTCACACATAATGCACAATGAGAAAAAAAAATACACATTTTATCAGAAGAGCATCTGAATTTTTCAGAGGATGAGAGACTCATTGATGTTTCAGCAGCCAAACCTGTTCAAATATTTTCCTCAAGACTTCCTTGAGATGAGAGGTGACCACCAGAGGCCAAGGCCAGCCAGAGCTGTCTGTCCTGGCAGCTTTTGTCTGGGAGAACCCTTGCATATAGGGAATTTTTCAGGGGGAGTATAAATTTTGGCTGTGGACACCTGGAAAAATGGATGGTTCTTTTCCATAGGAAGGAAAGCACAGAGCCCCAGTTCTCCAGGGGCTGATGAGAGGCAGCCCTCAATGTTCCAAGATCAGCCGGACCTGTCAGGTGGCCCCTTTGTCATGGTTTGACACTGGCACAATGACAGTGCCCCCATGAAAATGTAACCCCACAAATGATTGCTGTGAAATGCAATCAGGAACAGAGCAGAGTAGTTCCAAGCTCAATAACAAAGGAGAAACTTTATTAAACTACTACTTCTATAAAATGAAAAAGCAAGAAAAAAAAAATTCCAAAATTAAAACCTTCCAAAACACTTCTCGCTCCCCCCAATTCCAACAAACCACAGTGAGACACAACTTGGACTCCCAATCAGGTTCCCACCCTTCAGAGGATCAATACTCTGTCCATCGAGGGAGAGAGGAGTCTCTCCTGTGCCATAGACCCCCAGGAAACACAGCTGCCACCTCTTGTGTTTTCATGTCACACATGGCACCGCCTGGAGAGAATCTGCCAGTGTGACACTCTCCTTTCCATGTCACAGTGCCCTCACCACCATGCATGGACAGACTGCTCCATGGACAGACTGCTCTAAGGATTTTTCTTTTCAAGGATGCTCTGCCAAGAGGGAAAAAAAAAAAAAAAAACAGTTCAGTTTTTCATTTTTGGGACCGCAGTCCTGCCCCATCTCCCCCTGGGGACAAGGGTACAAGAACAGAGATCTTCTCTTCTTCTCTGAAGACAGGGGGCATCACCACAACCCTCCTCAACTCTTCTCTATTCACTCCACTCCTGTCTTTTTCTCAGCTGCTGAAACAGGTCTCTTGCCTCACCATGCATCCTCTTAAAATACAGTCTCTCTCTCGGAGGAGAAAATTGGTTCAGTCTATGGCTAACGAGAGAAAGTCTAGCCAAAAACCACTCCATCATCTCCTCCCACCTAAAATTTCTCCTTCTTACATCTCAGGCCCCAGACTGTCTCGTTTCTTCTCTTTCAAATCGAGGAGGAATAATATTTGACAAAGCTTTCATCATCCAAGAAGGGGTTAAAAGTCCAAATTCCCTGGCCAGCTGGCCAGGCTCTCTGCCCAGACCTCCAGCTCCTACGCTGGGCACTTCCCACTCCCACCCCACTCTTGCTGTCTCTTTCTCTCTCTCTCCACAGAGACCCTGGCGGGGGGAACGCAGACATCCCAGATTTTCCTCCACCCTTCATCTGCAGGGAGCCAGCCCGGTTCCAGCCCCTGCACCCTTCGGCCTTACCTCAGTCAGGCCGTGGGGCTTCCCCTGCCCCAGCCAGCCACGGGCCGGGCAGGGGAGAGGCTGCACTGCACCCTGACCGGAACCAAAGAGAGCGAGTTCTCCTGGGAATTCTGCTTTTAACCCCTCTGTGATCTCAGAGGCGTGACCAGCCTCAATTGGTCACCCCAAGTGCCAATGTCCAACCCCAATCACTGACTGGCTTGACCCTCTTCCTTCTGTGTTAAACCACAACACACTCCCAGGGTCTGGAATTCCAGTTCCTGGCCAGGAAAAAATGTTCCTGACTTTGAATTTCCTTCCTATCCTCTCAACAAATTATAATAAAATTATAAATCAATAAATTATAATTAAAATTAAAAAGAAATAAGTATTTCAACTCTTACTTACAATACTCCAATAATGATTTAACCCAAAACAACAATAACTATAAATGTAACATTACCAATAAATATAAATAAATAAATTATATACCAAGAAATACCTTTTCAAAGTTTTAACTCATTATCTAATAGACTTCAGATAAAAATATCTAAAAAAACTAACATACAATCTAACACACCTTAGTAAAACAATTCAAATTACAAATTTACTAAACACAAAAAAACCACACCACTATAATTTCTCATACATTTTAAGCAAATAATTAAACTTTAATAACATCCTTAAGTACGCTAAAAAAATTAAATTATTTTTGAAGAACTTAATTGCAGATGGGTGGTTTTATTTGGATATTAGTTTTTGGATTGTTGGTGTTAGATGATTTTAAAAAAGGGATTTTTATAGGAATTTAATCAGCTTAGAAGGAGCCACTCTGCAAACAGAACTGACTGAAAATGAATGGGACAGAAATCAGTAACTCTGAACGTTTTATTTGCTATCAAATACATCCCAGCCACCCAGCCCCACACAATCCCCATCCCACCGCTCCAAACTGAGATCCTACTTCTCCCAATCTCCTCCCAACCCCATCTCACCCTGGCAGCTGTGGAATTGAGTGAGCTTTGTGTGGGATTGAATTTTTTTGAGGTGGGAACAGGCAATTTGAGGTGGGATTGTGCCTTCATAGGTTAAAATTCCGTTGTTTTCAGTGGGATTGAGTGGTTTTGTGGTGACAGATCCATCCCTCTTGGCTTTTGAAATGCAAAGAGATGGAGAACACTGCCCAAAATGACCCCAGAACCCACAAATCCTCCAGAAGTTGAGTTCATGGTGTTCAGGGAGGGTGCAGCTGCCGGCGTCAGGAACAAATGAGACGGGTCTTGGTTTAACAAAGCTCCAGAATCCATTTCTTACCCCTGAAAGACAGAGCAAAGGCAGGGCCATGGGGTTTGTATAGGGTATCCCAGAGGTGCAGTTAGGGTTTGGGTCAAGGGAGGAGTCATTAGCAACACAAGAAGTATGAGATCAAATTCCTGCCTCTTAGCAACAGGGGAAATCAACCCAGATCCTAAATTCCCCCTCAAACTCCTGTGAAATGGTGGCACTTCAGATATTTTTGATCAATTTCTTTAATTTAACCCTGTTTTGGCTGTGTTTAAAGAATAAAGATGAATCAGAGGAAAATTAGGGCCAAAGCAAAAGGAGAAGCAGCCAGGTGTGTTCCCAACATGGATCGCAGGGAATGTGGGTCACCAGGGCTGTGCCCAATGTGGGTTCTCCAGCGGGGGATGGAGCTGGAGCAGAGCACGAAGCTCTTCCTGCAGTTGGGGAATTTTCAGGGTTGCCCTTACAGGTGCCTCCGTTGGTGTCTGGTCAAGTCAGAGCTCTGGGTGAAGCTCTTCCCACACTGGGGACACTCGTAGGGCCTCTCCCCAGTGTGGATGCGCTGGTGCCTGACAAGGTGGGAGTTTTGCTTGAAGCCCTTCCCGCAGTTGGGGCAGCGGAAGGGCCTCTCATCCGTGTGAATCCGCTGGTGCAGGAGGAGATTGGAGCTGGTGTGAAACCTCTTCTGACACTCGGGACACTCATAGGGCCTCTCCCCAGTGTGGATGCGTTGGTGGGTTACAAGGGCAGAGCTCCAGCTGAAGCCCTTCCCACACTCCCCACACTCGTAGGGCCATTCCCCAGTGTGGATCATCTGATGTCGTTTCAGATTGTTGCTCCGCCTGAAGCTCTTCCCACACTCCAAGCACTTGTAGGGCTTCTCCCCATGGTGAAGCTTCTCATGGACCACCAGCTCCGAGCTCTGGCTGAAGCTCTGCCCACCTTCCTGACCCAGAGTGGGCCTTTCCTCCTCAGAGCACCCTGGGCTGGGTTTCCAGCCCCTCCTCCTGTGGGATCTCCGGGGCTTTTCCTCCCTGTTGGATTCTTGCGCTGTGGAGTTGCTCAAATCGGCCTCTTCCATGAGGTTCTGCTGCAGGGATTTGTCCTTCCTGGTCTCCATCATCAGCTCCTGCTCTGGGGTAGGAAGGACAAGGAGAGGATGGGATTTGCCTCCGTGCCACAAGGAAGGGTAAGGAGATCCCCCCAGTGCATCCCCGTCAGGAGAGCGTCGGCAGCGGGGCTGTCCTGCAGCCGGGGGCCAGGCTGGGCCGGGAGATGGAACAGGAGAGAGGGGGAAAGGGGCACTGACTTCCTCCTCACCTGCCTCGGTGTCCCAGGGCGCCTTCCTCTTCCTCACAGCCTCCTCCTCCATTTCGTGAAGGTTTGGGTATGGGAAATTCTGTTTTGGGAGGAAAACAAGGGATGAGCACATTGAGTTTTGTACCGGTTTGAAGGCAAACCAGGGGGAGAGTCTAAGCCAGAATCACAATTGAGTAAGAAAATTAAGATCAAGGCAATGATACAGAAACACTGGCTTAATCGGACAGAGTCAGGATACAACCTGACACCCCGTTGGTCAGGGTGGTGGTAGCAGTCTGATGAAATGGTGGCTGCAGTCCGGCTGGAGTGATGAACGTGATTCTGTCAAAGCGGTGATCCTGTAGAAGGGTCTGGTCTTCCTCTGAAGGTCCAGTGGTGGTTATGGAGCTCTTGTCCTCTGGGAATGCAGTAGGCAAGGTGGTCGTGGTGTTGCAAGGGTGAGATTATATCCAGGTAGGAATGCTTGGTTCCTCCCCCTGGGCGGAGCATCCCACAATGGGATGATGTAATTTTATCAGCCCTGCAGTGACACTCAATGGCCCATTAACAGAAGATGGCCCCTGGAGGGCGTTATCAGGGCTGAGCCATGGAAGAGATAAAGAACACTGCCCCACCTGTTGATAACAGTTTATGGAGATGGTGACTGAAAACACTTTTGGTTACATCTGACACTGTAACCTGAAACAGTGAGGCAATCCCTGCTCGGGGTGGGGGGTGAACACCACCCCCCTTACCCAAACTGGCTCAGGTGTAAAACCCCCACCCTGGGAAGGACACGCACACAGGGGACAATGTCACACTTGCCCTGCCCCAGGGGAGATCTCTTTCCCTGTCACTCCCTTGCTCTCTCCCCTTTTCTCTTTCTTTCCATCTCTCTCTCTACCTCACATTTACTGTTCAATAAAATCCACTTTGGATTTGGTCTCCTTAGCACCTTCATTGGGGCAGAGGCATCTCTCTAAAAATTTTATTAACCAGATTGCGACATTATTTTGGCACAGTGAGTTCAGGGCACTGCTGTCTGACCCCAAGTGCCTTTGACAACAGCATGGGTCTTTCCTCTGCGAAGGTTCTGCCTCTTTCTGGAGGAACTCTTGGAAACTTGGATGCAGCTTCCTCTGAGTGACTTTTGGGAGAACTTATGAGGAAAATGGCTGTTGTGGGTGGCCAGTGTAAAGAAAGTATTTTCTTGTCCTTCCTTGAAAAATTTTTTAAAATAACTGGAGAAAAGGGACCAAATGATACTAGCAAGACTGACAAGGATCATTCACCCCAATGTGAGGAACTCAAGACCAGTAAATTCCTACAAGAAGCCCAGTTCAAGTAGATAAATTCCCAAGTAACTCCTGAATTCACAGCTCTGGGGACTTTGCCAAATATGAGAATCATTATTTTCTTTGTCTCTGTGTCATGGTTTGATACTGGTACAATGCTAGTGCTCTTTATGAAAATGTAATCTTTTAATTGAATGCTGTGAAATGTGATTGAGAACAGAGCAAAGCAGGCTTAAGCTTAATAACAAGAAAAAAACTTTATTAAACTATTATTACTATGTTATTATAAAAGAGGGGAAAAAAAAGAAAACATATATAATTTAAAATGAAAACTTTTTAAAGTATTCTTTTTTTCACTATTTAACTTTAATAAATTACAGTGAGACACAATTTGGACTTCAATTAGGTTTCTACTTTCTAGATAATTAACACTTAGTTTATTTGCAGGGAGAGAGAAGTCTCTCTTGTGCTACAAACATCTTAAGAAATATAGCTGCTACATCTTGTGCTTTTATGTCACCACATGGCACTGCTCGGAGAAAAAAGTTTGTTAGTGGTGACTCTTTCTTTTTTATGTACGGTGCTCTTACTACTAATGTATGGATGGACAGACTGTTTTTTAGGATTTTTTTTTTAAGGATGCCCTGCCAAGAGGGGAAAAAATAACAGTTTAGTTTTTTATTTTTGGGATTAACAGTCCCCCCCATTTTCCCCTGGGGCTGAGGATCTACAAATAGAGATCTTCTTTTCTTTTTTTTTTTTTTGACGACAGGGGGCACTACTATAAACTTTTTTTAACTTTTCTTTGTTCGCTCTACTTCTGTCTTTTCCCAGCTGAAGCATGGTTTCTTTGGCTTACCAGCATCTTCTTAAAATATAGTCTTTTTTTGGAGGAGAAGATCAGTTCAGTCTGTGGCTACTAAGAAAAAGTTTAGCTAAAAGCCATTCTATTGTTTCTTCTCACTTAGAATTTCTTTTTCCAACATCCCAGGTTCCAGGCTGTCTCTCTTCCTCTCTTTTTAAACTAAGGAGGAGAAAAATTTTATAAAGCTTTTATTTTCTTAGGAAGGGTTAAAAGTCTTGACTCCCAGAGATGGCTTGCTGCCCAGGCTCCAGCTCTCACAGCCCGGCTGGGCACCTTGCGGCCCCCCCGCTCTTCTCTTTCCCCGCGGCGAACTGCTGATAAAACTACTGCCGTCTCTCTTTTTCTCTTGGGAGAGAGAGAGACTCTGGGGAGAACGGAGACATCTTAGATTTTTTTTACCCTTTTATCTGCAGGGGGTTCTAGTCCCTCTACCCTTGGGCCTACCTCTGAAAGCCACATGGCTTCTCCCCTCCCCCACCCAGCTCGTTGCTGGGCAGGGGAGAGTCCTGCACGGACCGCTGACCGGAACCCAAGAGAGAGCCAGTTTTTTTGGGAATTTTGCTTTTAACCCCTCTGTGTTCTCAGAGGCGGGTCTACCTTCAATTGGTCAATGTCTAAATTGACTTCTTTTTTCCAGAAAAATTCTTTTTCCGTGTCAAACTACGACACTCTGTCACCTTTGTGACAGCTACACAGAGCTTTCCCTTCCCTTTATTAATCTGTACTGGGCCAAATTTCCACTTTCCTTTTATCGGAACCTGCCAGCAGCTGAGCTGAAGCTGTGCAGGAACTGATGAAACTTGGATTTGCCACAGAATTGCTTCTATTTTCAGTTTATTAATGTTTGGGATTTGTTTGTGTTTCCATCACAAGTGACTTGTGGGAAGAGCAAATCTTCCTCAAGGCATTTTATGGAGGGTTAAGTTTGATTTCTGCTGAGTTTGTTTTGTCCAGTGCTCAGGGGATGCTCAAGGGCTCTCTGGTTTTGGTTTGGCCCTAATTTTCTTCTGATTTGTCTTTATCACTTAAAAACACCTGAAAAATGACTAAAAAAGAGTATTGACCAGAGATGTGAAAAGTCCCACCATTTAAGAGGTATTTGAGGTGGAATTTATGGTGTGGGAACATATTCTGGAGGATTTGTGGGTTCTTGGGGGATATCTGGTAGTATTCTCCATATCTTTGCACTCCAAAAGCCAAGGTGGATTGCTCTGTCACCTCAAAATTACTCAATCCCACTGGAAACACCTCAATCTTACCCCAAAATTACTCAATCCCACGTCAAAGTGGCTGGTTCCCACCTCAGTCCCATGCCAAAATTACTCAATTCCTCCGCCTGCAGGGTTAGATGGGGTTGGAAGGAGATTGAGAGAAGATCCAAATTTGAGGTTTTGGGATCAGGATTGTATGGGGCTGGGTGGGTGTGATTTATTTTGATAATAAATAAAACTATCAGAATTATTGATTTCTGTCCCATTCATTTTCTGTCAGTTCTGGTTTGCTTTTCAGAGTGCCGCCTTCTCAGCTGATTTCGTTTGTGACCTCCTGTCCCAGACTGAAAAGCAAGATGTGTTCTATTTGCCATCTGTATGGCAGTTGTCCTGTGTTAAGTGGGCAGTTTATCCTTATCTCTTCCACAATCAATCCTCCCTCAGGGCAGACATCTGCTGATAATGGGCTATTGAATGTCACTGCATGACTGATAAGAACTATAATGTTGGGTGAGAGTGTCGCGGGAAACAAGTTTCATGCTGTCATGATCAACAAGTCTCAGTTTATTGGAGTTGATTACAGTTTCTTTATACAAGCACTAATTAGTTCATACATATTGCAAAAGCGAAGCTCAGGATTGGTTACTTTTCTATTAACACATATATCTCTTTGCGATAAGCCTTGCAGTTACTGCTTCTTTATACTTGATTACTTTTCTGCATACTAAGCAATATTTCATTTTTAACGAGACACCTGTATGCTCAAGATTGTTAGGAGATATCTGTTTCTCAAGGTTGTTAGGAGACATCTGTTTCTCAAGGTCATAGTTTTCATGCTACAAGTCACGTATTCTCACACTCTCATCAACTTAACTTTTTCGTGTCCCTTGCTGCACAGCTATTCTTTAGCTAAACTCTCGACATTTCCCCTGTTTTTTCTATAAGCAAGCAAGGATGTCTTCTATTTTTGTTCTATAATTGACATTAAAGTCTTTTGCAAGCACTGAAATACACATGGCAATGCAAGCATTAAAATTACTATAATTAACAATTCTATTATCATAAGCTGCAAAAGGTGTTTAAGCTAACTCGTAATTTTTCATGATTTAAATGATAATTTTAAAAATGTATCATCCCTCTGTAACACTTGAACATGTTGTTGCAAACGCTGAATTTTCTTATGAATAGATTCGGAACTATTTTTCAAATTCATAGAGCACATTCTTTCAAATTTTTTGCACTCATGTCTTTGTGCTATTTGAATTCATTTGAGTTCGGGTCCATGTTTCGAACTCTGCCATGGGACCTAACGAGACTCCCTCTTTTTCTTTTGCCATTGAAAGACAATGGCAAAATGAACAGAAAAATCACAGGCATTACTAAAACTTATTAAAACTTTGTAAAAAATTCTATAACATCATTAAAAACACACTTATAAAATAAAAAAAAAAAAAACTCAAAGCCCGCAATCTTCTGTGGGTGAAACTCAAATTTTTGCACAATCCACTTTTGCTGTGCATCCTCTGATCCACTTGTGGAGAGATGAGTGCCCTCTTGCAATTGATAAGTTCCACATTCTTCACTGAAATCCATCCAGATTCTGCACCTGTTAAAACACAAACAAACTCAACACCCCCACAGGGACTGGAGGGTCCTCTCTCAATTCTGTTCCCTAAAACTTGCATGAAGAAATGGAGATATCAACATTTTTGTTATAAACATGACAAAACATTAAAAACAAAACAATGCATATAGTAAAGAAACTAAATACAAATAAAAATCAA